TGAAAACCTTAGTATATCCTTCAGTTAATTGCATGTTTTCTGCACTCCTGTTAGGTCATTTTCTGATAGTAGGTTTTTGTGCAACTCCTTCTGGGGGAGCAGTCCCCTTTAGGATTGCTTCTAGCAAATTAAATGGTCCTCTAGTTGCACAGGTTGTCTGTCCCTGGTGTATTTCTCAACTTAAGTTTAACTGCTCGGACTAAAGATAAAAGACCTTTTTCCCATTTAGAATATCATTGTTCTGTTTCCTTAAATGTGGTGGAGCTAAATAATAAAGGTCTTTTTGGTCGATCGGAGCCAGTTTGGAACAGGTTACAGTAAGTAGCACGCTCAGTGAAACCCCATTCGGCTCTAGTAGGGTCGCAGGGGTGTACTGGTCCCAATGACTGGTATGTTTTTAATTTCTTCCGTTCGAGTTTTGATTGCCTTTTTGTGTTCTAATTTCCACTCCCAGGGTTTGCCTTTCCGTAAGAGTGAATGTAATGGACGAGCACTAATAGAAAATCCAGGTACATGCTTCCTCCAGCATCCTAAAGTTCCCATTAGCTGTTGTAACTCCTTCCTTGATTGGGGCATTCAAAGCTCTCTGATTTTTCTTGACGTATCTGGAGAAATCACTGAACTGCCTGCTATCACCAAGTACCCAAAAATTTTACCTCTCTACTTGGTCCCGGACAATTTTCAGGTGGAACCTCAATTTCCGCTTTATTTAGCGCTTGCCATGCTGCTGCTGCTGCTTCCCCCACTTTCTCAGGGTCCTCCCATCAGAATATCATCTGTATATTGGTACAGTTTCACATCTGGAGGGAGTGGGACTGTCTGTACAAGTTCAGCAAGTGCAGCAGGAGCAATCATGGGTCAATGTTTGTCCCCCTCCTTGTGGGGGGTCTGTTAAAGGTATATTGTATTCCCTCCCAAGTGAAAGCAAACTTATCTTTATCTTCCTCCTGCAAGGGGACCATAAAGAACATATCCTTCATGTCTAGCGCCGCCATCCATGGGTATGCAGCTGCTTGTAATGTAGCTGTTAAGTTTGCAATATTTGGTACAGCAGCTGTTAGTGGAGCGCTGATAACTGATTCTCAAACACCACTTCCTATCTGGTTTCCAAACTGGCCAGATAGGTGAGTTATATGGGGAGTGGGTTTTAAAGATAATTTATCATTTTTTCAAATCAGCTCTGACTTCAGAAATCCCATTTCGTGCTGCAGCAGAAATCGGCTATTGCAGTACGTTAGTAATTTTTGAATCGGGGAGTGTGGGGCTGAGCAAAGTACACGCACTGTAGCTTCCCTATTTCTGCGGGGGTTAGGGTCCATGTTTGAGCTGAAGGACCACACACCGCCATCCGGCAGGCAACAGCTTCGTTGGTTTAAAACATTGAAACCTAAAATACTTTCATTGTGATCTTTAACTGCGAAGGGAGTAGTTGACATGCGCCTCTTGCCCGGGAGCCATAAATTAACCCTTGGCAGTTTGGCACACAACACTCGCTCCATTCACACCGATAATTTTAACTCTCTGCTGTCCAGGTCACACACTCAACTTCTCGGCGTCTTGTTGTGTTAGTTTTGAAATTTGTGCTCCCGTATCTATTAAAACTTCACCAGTTGTCGGTGAGGACCAGTCAAGATATTTGGGCCATTATCACTTATCCACTGATAAGCCTCCCCTTGCTGTACAGGTAGACCTAATTGTCTTCCGGGCATTACTTGTTGTTTTGTTTTGTTTTTTGTTTTTCCTTCATGCCCTGCAGTTCCTTCCTAGAGGGGAAGAAGGGGTTGTCTCTCTCTCTCTCCCTCTGGGAGCTGGCACTGGAGGAGTTGAAGTATGCTCCTCTCTTTGGCTGTTCTCTTGTTTCTGGGATGCTTCAGTCAGGCTCAAGATAATGCCAGTAGGCGGACCTCAGATCGCGAGGGTCAACCTGGGAATGCCTAGGGCTAAGGCTTTCCTCCACAATCCATTTATTTCTCAGTTCTCAAGATACTGTTCACGGGTCTTGGGGCTTATTTCCCTTTGGCTTATTTTCTATTCCCTGTGGAGGGGTGCCTGTATCACTGGTCTCACCCTATGATCTCTTCCCCAGGGCTTCAGGTTTGGTTTTTCAACTATTGGATTGTCCCAGCCCATTTCACAGCTGTGGTTAATGTTGCGGTGCATTAATTCTGCCCATGCAGGGAGTTGCCTGCGTGGGTCGTTATCACCTAGTCTGTCATTGTATTCTGCAGCTGTTCAATTGTCAAAGACAGTAGAACTCAGTTGCCTTTCGACCTTCTATTGCTTTCTTCAGGACCTCCTCCTTTCTGTTCCAGTGCTCCCTTTCTTGATATGCAGCTTCTAAACAGGTACCTAGCACCTTGCAGGTAATGCCTGTCCCTTGTCTATCGCTTGTGTGGCTCCTAGTTACCTTCAGGTATTCTTCAGTAGCTTCCCAACTGTGCTAATTGCCACGAGCCCATTCTTCTGAGAAGGGACTTGAGTTCACTCCATACCTCCATCAAGAACTGGTGATACTACTACCTGGTGCATATATTAGAAAATAGCTGAGCGCACCTTTCTGCGTCTTCCCTCAACCTGGGCATTTTGCTTCCCCACAACGCTAAATCACTCGGGCTCCAGCCTTGGTTAGTAAATACAGGCAGCACTGGAAGGGGTGGGGGAGCTCCCCCTGCTACGCCCAGCTGTAATGCTGCCGGATTAGGTAAGACATTAGAAACCATAGGATAGAGTCCAGCAGCTGGCAGAGTAGAAGTAGGAGAAAGAGGGAGAGTGAGTGACAGATAAATCTTCAGGAGGTGAGAGCGAAGGGGTATAGGGTGGAGCGGTTGCTGCGGGTGCGTTACACGGGGTACTGGCATCTGCTACGGCAAGAGTCACTTTCGTAGGGTTCCCCTCTTTTTACTCAGGTGCTGGTGGTCCCGTACGTGATTGTCCCACACATACCAATCCCCCATTTGGTGAGGCTTTTCATCTTCCAATATAATTTGTAGCGTAGTTAATGTCTCGGAATTGGAGGATCCTTCCTCTGGCCAGCCCCCTGAACCGGTCCCACATGGCCGATCTTCCTGACATAAGGAAATTGCGCGCTTTCTGGATAATCCTACTGTACCGTCTATCTTTCCCAATTTTTCACTAGTGCTAAGCTGGGCTAGAGCTAAATTAGCTGCCTTTTTTAACAGTTGTTCCCTCAGAATTTGCTCAGTATCGATTAGCTCAGAATTTGTTAGCTTTTGAGATTAGTCTTTTAACTTTCTTAAAGTTATTTAGAAAGCTATAATCCTTTCCCTAACTGCAGAAGCAGCTTCAAAACAGTGAATAATCAGGTACCTGTGTGGTACCTGATGCTTTGTGTACCAAAATCCAAGTACAAAAAGATAAGTTAACTCAGGACCCAGTTTCAGATGGCAAACAAAATCACGGGATTGACCATTTATTGTAAAAGATCCTGTAAAGCTTTCGCAAGAGTAACAGTAGTCACACTGGTATCTTGGTCATATTAGAATTGTGGTAACTACATCCTTCCTACCTACATATTCCCTGAGATTTCAAATCGATACAGTGCTCTCTATTTCCTGTCTAAAGCCTGGATTCTGAAAGAGCTTTGTGCAAACAAAAGGCCTGTCAAGATTAACAAGGCTTCCTGTGGGCTCTACATCCAACTAACCTCAGGCCCCAATCCTGTATCTAGCGTTGCTGTGCCCTAGCAGCGGCTGTATTGAACACTGCAGGGTAGCTGCAGGGATCTGCTCCGTTCCTCTTGCCAAGGTGATGCGAAGCATGCTTTGTAAGCTGGTTTGATATCTTGCAGCTGTAGATGATAGATTAGTGCAAAGCGTTACTACAGCAGGAAAATAATGCCATGGAGGATGCTGCTTTGGACAGCTGTATTTAAGAAGAGAAAAGAATGAAGATATCTAGTCAGAGTTTTATTTCAAGGAGAAAATGAAAAAGTGTGGGAGCAGGCAGGTGAGGACTTTACATCTTTTTTATAGGTGGGATGTAGAGGATGATAATGTATTTGCAAATGTTTTGGAAATTGAAACATCCTTTTTAGTTAGGTACATCAAATTACCTCTTAGGTACAACAGTTCAGCATGCATTTCTTAATGTTCGCTCTTGCACAGTTATGTTTTTCTACTTCAGCTTTTTAGGGAAAAATACTTGATTCTATGGGATTTTTTTGATCTGCACCAGCTTGAAATGCCACATTCAAATAGTGTCATGATTAGCTAAGAAGTAGTATATGTGTATATGTGGCATGAGAGCTGTCAGACTTCCATGAGCTCATTTGTTAGTGTGATTCCAGTAATACCATTTGGAGAGTGCCATGTTAATTCTAGTGTTCTTCACTGGGTAGAGATCTGTGCATCATTTATATATTGCTACAATTTAACCACATTATAATGGCTTCTTTAATGCTGACATGTGCTGCTATAATTGCCACGTTATATACTACACTGTCAATATTCTTAGAAAGACACTATACCGTTTGTTGTCTATTACTCATTTATAGTATACCCAATTTCTTCTGAAATTCACATAGGAAAGCAGCGATTAGTATGTGTGGTGGGCTGTTTCTGAACAATGTCAGGAACCTCTGCAGTCTAAACGCTCCTAAAAATTGTACCAACTCTTAGCCATCATCCTTCTTCCACAAATTATTGTTAATAGTGAGGATTTCAGAAGCCATCATTCAGCCTTCACATACATGCACACTTAACGCAGAAAGTTTACTTTTGTTTTAATAGTAGGACATTCAAATGATTTGTGGTTTAGGATTTCCTAGATGGGAAAAAGAAAATAAGTTTTAATTTGTTCCTCTGGTCAGAGGAACTATCATGGAGCCTTTGTCCTGAGGCAAATTAGGGGACAAAAGAAGTGTGGTTGTTGTTTCAGTACTTGAGGCATACTTTACTAAGGTAGAAAGAAACAACTTTGATTTGTTGTGGCTTAAAGAACTGTTAACTGAGAACTGTGTAACTGGTTTATGTATACTACAGGATCTGTGCATTATGTGAATGAGAAAGGAAAGACAAGCCATATATTGTCCACCGACAGTCCTGTCCAAAAACTTCTCTTCATGGAGAAAAGAGATGTTTTAGTGGTAATAACAGAGAACCTTCTGTTGTCCTTGCATAGAATTACTCTTGAGGGAGAGGCAGAAGAGCTCATGAAGGTAAGAGAGTCAGGCTACAAGGTAAAGTTGAAATGTTTAATCTTTATAAGTATTTGCTAGGTTTTTTTGGTTATTACTTTTTTTGCTCGCAAAGGAATCAGCACTTATTTTTCTTTCTCAGATAATACCTTGATAAGCAAATATATGATCACTGAAACATAGAATAAAAGGCTATATTACTGAACTTGGAAGGATGTTCAAATCTATAATTGCAGTACAGTCAAATGTTTATTAAAATGTTTTGTGGATAAATGGCTGATAATATACTTCCTCAGATTTATTATCATCACTCATTCAGAGCTGCCTTCTCTTCCAGGTTAGTAGGAACAGTACCTACCCCTCTTGGTGAAATTATCTTTGTCTGCAAGTCTGAAAGGAGGTTTTGTTCTCACTTTATCAAAGTGTTCTTCAGTGCTGCAAAAGCTAGAAAACTTTTAAAAAATAGCAACCCACAAATAGTAATGTAGCACAGAAATGACTGTAAAGGGACAAACAGCAAACTGACTTCATCCAGGACCAGTAGTCATCATGGCCCAATATCTAAACAAAATACTATACTGTTGGAGAACACTGCTTTGAAAAAACCCTAATTTTTCTAAGGTTTTTTCTCTAAAATCAAAAAAGATTGGATACTTGTGTGTTATAGGAGTGCCCACTTTTTATTAATCAGTACTTTTTTGACTAGAAGTAAGATCTGGTGTTTCATGTTTTAAAGCAATCTTTATTAAGTTCTGAGAGAAGATCTAGTACAAGGGGAAAACTGTTGCTTGCCATTTCTTTTATTACTTTTATACGTGATATACCTAATTCATTTAGTGGTTGTTGTTGTCTGAGGGAAACTGTTGGTCTATCAGAACTGTCTGAACAGGTCTAGTAATTCTTACGTTTTAACTTTGCAGCCACACTAGGCAATTCAGATACCTACAGTCTGTCCATATGTTCCTCCTACCTTCTGGCATTTTCTTTTATTTATTTGTTGTTGATTAACAGGTGAAGTTGAGTGGGAAGACAGGCCATTCTGCAGACATCATTTTAATAGACAACAGTCTTATTGTTACAGCAGTAGGTGAGACAGTCCTCAGGTAAGAATCTTGTTTCAAAGCTGTTCTTGCTGCCCAAAAGAAAGGCCAGCTAAAAGATTTATGGACTGCAGTGGACTAAAGATTTTACTGTACATGTACTGTACATTATTTTCTCATTCTTTTTCTCCAAATAAATATAAGGAGAATGAAAAATCTATTTTCTTGAAGAAAAACTTAATTATGCATATTTTCCTTTCTCTCAAGGTAGTTTTATTTTATCTGCCAATACTACCCAAACTTGTTCCTTTCTGAGTACCTTTATCCATTTCTTTCTGAAAATGGATCCCTTTGATTTTGTGCATGAAAAAGTCACTTTGTTCTTTCCACTCCTGCTCTCTGAGTATTATGACAGTCATAGCATCAGCCACAGGAAAACTGTGCCCTGCTTGTCAGGATTTCTTTCTATCAGTGTAATATAACATAAATATTTTGGTAATTTTTATCCCTAATTCCTTAAAACAAATATGTCACTTTGCTGTCTGCAATGTTGCCATGTTCTGTAGGTTTTATCTCTCTGCATTTTTTTTTAAGTGTATGCTAAACCTTTGGGTTTTCTAGCTGTACTATGAGTGACTCCACCTCTTTCCCCTAACTTTTGATGAGGGGTCACCAGAGACTGTCCATTAACATCCGTGGCTCGCTTTTTTGAGCCTCTATCTGCTATTATCTGATGGAATCCTATGGTTAATTTTGTGAGAATATGGAAAGACCTGTCATCGATGGTGTTCAGTTCAACAAAATGCATCTGAAATCCAAGGGCTACTAAAAGTGGCGGAGATAGGGAATATCCCTAACAAAATGTGGAAGCTCGCGTAGGGAGGAAGACTATAGCTAAGTCTCATCTCTTAAACAAAACAAACAAACAAACAAAAAAACCCCACACAAACCACACACCACTGAGTTTGACTCCTTCCTTTATAGGAGGGTGTTACAATACATGCTGCGGATTAAAAAGTCAAAGGAAAAGGAAGGAGACTGTTAAGAAATTCATGCTCCAGAGGAAGCTGCTGATGATTTCATTTTAAAAATTAAATGATCTGGGCATTCTGGAAACAGCAAATTAGTGCCATGTGTAGCATCCTATTGACTGTGTTTAGCGAGACACCTGGAAGGAAAAGCATTGTTAAAACTCTCTTGTTTTCTGTGCTTTAGGTTCTGGGATTTGGAGCGAGGTGAGAACTATGTGCTCTCCCCAGATGTGCAATTTGGCTTTGAGGCAGGAGAATGCATTAACTGTGTTTCTTACTGCAGTGCTAAAGGTAAGAAACCGTGATCTCTGGTTCCTAAACCAGGTCAAAGTATTAGTCTTTAGTGCCCTGTGGTCATTTCAGATACTTACCTTGTTACTGAGGGTATGTTTCAGCAGTGTTTTAGTTTAGATCAGGAATGTCCCTTTGAAGGGGCAATGAGAGAATTCAATACTTAACCACATGTTGGTTTGCAGCGTGGTGTTTGCTTGAAGATAACTCCAGGCACACAAATTGAACTCCCTTTGATGGCACTGAACTGGAAGATGTGCTCTGGAGTGCACCTAGTGCCCTCCAACCAGTAAAAGGCATTCAGTCTACAAGCCCACACCAGAACTAATCCAAAGCAGAGCTCTCCATGTGTGCGTTGGGTCCTTAACATAGACTATTTCTCTCTACAGAGCTACTCCTGTGTGCTGTATAGTTTGCTAATCTAGGCATGGCTATGGCTAGGGTCTACTAGAATTATTTTCAGTAGTGGCTTGTACTCCAGACAGAACTATTCAAAAATAAACAGTTAATATGAAATCATTGTCTGATACAATTAAAAGATAACTTCATCTGGTAGCTTAGAAAATGGGTCTTACTATGTGAAACTTCTCCCGTTATCTCCCCAGAAGAGTTCAGGACTAGAATGCTGTTTGGCAGGCAAGGCAAAGAAGTGAAAGCTGCTGGAAGGCGGCTTCTCAATACCTCAAAACCAGAGTTTGGCTGCTTGTTTCTTTGTATAATGCTTGTTGGTTTTTCTGAAGTTTGAAATGAAATGTCTAAAAGGTTTGTGAATGGCAGGTCTTTTAGCAGCTGGTACTAACAAAGGGAGAATAGCTATGTGGAAGAAAGCATCAGTATCCAGTCAGAGCATGGGGACTTTGGAGGGCAAGGACAGATGGAAGCTCCAGGCACCTACAGAACTTGACGGAAATATCACTCAGATAAAGGTAAGACAGGAAAGAGTTTTATATTTTAGTAAGATTTCACAAACATTAAATGAATATATCATCTTTGTGAAATAAAATAAGTTTAATTGCCACCATACAGGCAATTACACCAGCAAAGAGGCCGATGCCCCCAACGTTACATGGGAAATCATCGATAAATTTGGGAGTAGAGTTTGTCTGTAGAGATTTCTATGACTTTTCACCCTTCCTCCCCTCCAAATTAAAGACCTGAAATAAAACCTCTAGTTTTTCCATTCTCTGAGTAATAAACTCTTGTACTACAACATACAAAAAAACTTAACCTGAAAACAAATGTCATGACATATGTTTGGAAATAACCCGATATGTTTTCAGAAATCTATCTTGGCATGAATCCAACAGCTAAAGCACTTTCTAAACATTTCTTTTCACTCACAGCAGAATGGTGTTCAGGTGGATATGTATGCTACCTTTTTCTGAAGGAGGAAAACCCTTGAATAACTTTCAAAATTGAAATGGGCAGAAGTATTACCTGTTCGTAGCTAGTCTGTTGCAGGCAGGGTTGAAATGCTCAGTAACGTAAAACTCTGAAATGCAAATAGATCTCTCTGCCTGGGAGGATTAGCTAGCAGTCATGACATCCTTAAATCCAGACATTTCCCCTTCTTGTGTCTCATTGACAGGCCCTTTGGATTCAGCACCCTGAAATTGTTTTCTGGCAAAGATAGATAGTCAGTAGCCAAATTTATGTAAGTTTACTAAAATAACAAGCAAGAAAATTGGAATGAAATGAATGATTGTAGTCTTAGATAATTTTCTTCTTTTTAGTCACTTTTTTCATATAAAGTTTGCTCTTACCGGTAGTTAAGGACTATAAAAATATATATGTACATCCAGATATTTTTCAAGTGAAAAGATATGCTCTCTAGAAGGAAACACTATATTTTTGCATGCAAAATGATTTTTTCAGATGCCTTTTTCTTTTTTTTTCTCCAAAATCAAAGTGAATCATGCCTCATTTACTAGATAATTTTTTTTACATGGCACTTAGTGTCAAACTCTATGTGGATAATAATAGGTTTTCTATTATGAATTTGCAAAAACAATATTATAAAAAATTTTTACTGCTTTTTACAGTGTTTTTAACACTGAATGTTATGACAGCTCATCGTATTATGAGATTTATTATTTTGTAATCCATTCTCCATTAAGGTGCAGGATTCAGCATTTTTACTTGAATTATTTAATTGATTATTGTGAGCTTAAGCATAAATGCTGCCTTTCCATATTTGCTTATTAATTTTTTTGCTCTATACAAAAGAAATGAGCGTTACAGTCATAAAATTTAAGTTTAAAAATATTTTACATTTAAAAAAATTAACTTTTTTGACAACCCATCGTTCTATTGAAGGATAAGCTAAGCTCTTTCTTTTAGATTCTCTGGGGGTTTCATTTTGTTTGTTATTCACTACTCTTAAAATTTTGTCTGGGTTTTTTTAGAGTTTGTTATAACTTAGATTTTCTTTTGCTGTGCTTAATACTTGAGAACAGTGCTCCTTCCTTTGGGGGAGGAATGAAAATCAAACAAATATATCTGGTGCCGTGCAAGAGAAAGTGATTTTATGTTTTCTTCTCTTTGGGTTTCACATTAGGATGGAAAGTATGTAAAAAGAGATGGCATTTGCTCGCTCTAGGTAGGAACCTAGTGAGGGAGCATGTCATAGTCTTACTTTCTAAATTAAAATGGAAGGCTGGGAAGTGCTATTGCAGTCAGTAACCCAAATCTTGTTAAGATGCTCCCATAACAAAAGGCCCAGGACTGAGGAAGTAGTGTGTGCCATTAGCATATCATACATCTGCAAATAAGTTGAGAGAAAGGAAGAGAGATAGGTGTTTATGTCAGCTTGACCATTCAAATATTTTCCAGATAACAGGATATGGAGTGCCGTCCAGAAATAGCATCTTGTTCCCGATGTTTATTAGAATAAACAAAAGCATCGCCAAACCATCGTCAACAATCACTCCATTTTTATCTCATTTTATAAAGCTAACTTTAATTATGGATACTTTAGGAATTTTTTTTCATATTAATCTTTGCACTCAAAAGTGCTCTGTGAATGGTTTTCAAAATTGTCGCATGTGGAATCTTTTGGTAATTCCTATGAAAGGCTATTCCTATGCTTCCGTGAAAATCTCAGAACAGCCACGTCCTATTCTGAAATCAAAGAGTGGCAATAACTTTATTTGACTGCTTGCCAAGCTAATCTTTTTTCCAAGCTGGCTTAGTGGCTTCTAACGAGAAGTAGTTGGGAAATGCACTCTAGCTCGTCTACTGTGCAGTATAGCACTCTAGCTGCTGTTCTTTGTAAGTAGACGCCACTAAAAAAAAAAACCCAAACAAACCCAAACAAACCATGCAAATTAACTTTATTTCTCAGATGGCACCCTTGAATAAAATAAAATATTTCCAAATACAACTATTTAATTCAGCGTTAGCGGAAGAGCATAACCACTCAGTATCAATATCTCTCTCTGCATTTGTGATTTTAAAACTTTCAAATCAAGAAATTGATATGAAACTTAAATAACTTTGAGGGAGCTGGAGAGCTTGAAGACTTGGCAGATCCCTCGAATTTATAGACCTTATCAATTGTATAGGAGCAGAGAAGAACCTCAAAGGATTTTTCTACAGCTCTTATAAACTTTGTAATTTATCTAGCCCATTTGGAAGCATGTCTGCATTGATGGTCCCTGATAAATCTTAGAAAACACAAAAAACCAAAATCAGCAATAACCAGAAGAACAACCCTCTGCCTGTTTCCTGGCGCGGTCATGGGACGACACCCAGGCAGAACCGCTGCAGTGATGTCCAGGTGATATGAGGCTTGAGCTGTGTACGCTGCTCGTCGGGGAGTGTTATCGGTGGTGTGTATGAGTTCAGGTGCAGCGCTCCCCCCGTGCGCTTACAGCTTCCTGACTAGAGTTTGAATAACGTGGTATGCAAGAGGAGTTCGTGTGTAGCCAGCTGATTGCCCACAGTGCTTTCTTACACGCTTATTTAGCTACGAATATGGGAAGAGAGAGTGAAAATGAGAGTATTAACTACTCTCTTCAATAATATAGAGAGAACTCACCAGCTGCATGTAAAAACTGTCTTTGCAAACCATCTCAGAGGCAGATCTCGCCTTTTTCCCATCAAATTTGGAAAGGCATCTCCAGTTTTAAAGTTGCTCTTTGTAGGTGATATTTTTCAATCTTAAAATATAATTTTAAAAAGAGTTTATGATCCTAAGCTGTATAAGATGTTGGATGTTGTTTTCTGCTTCACAATCTGGGGTGAGTCAATAGCTCAATGAGTCCATAACTGATCCAGAAATCTCTGTTTTCATATTACTTAAATGAGTAATTGTTAATACTTCAGGCAAGCATCACCTCTTTGTTACAAATTTGTGATATACCTAGTGCAGTTGGTGTGGTTCTTTTTGGGACTATGCAGTATAAATGATAAGAACTTGCTAGAGTATAAACTCTGTAGAATATGGGGAAAAAAAAAGAAGGAAAAAGTTATCTTCATAAAACTCATTGAAAAAGAGTTAGCTGGAAGAGGATTCATCAAGAAGAGGGAAGCGTTCTTTGGGACCACTTTATGCGTGTGATCAGTACTCTTTGCTAGAGAATTTGAACTGCATTGTTGACTGAAAGGGCTAACGAAGGTGCAGAGAAGAATAAGGTAAATGAATAAGGAATTATGTGTGCAACTTGTTCTTACAGACCAAAGCGTTATTAATCCCTTTGCATATGTGATTCTGTCTTGCAGTATTAAATGTAAGGTGATGCAGTAGCATCTTAGAAAAGAAAAGTGGCTTTAATTTATAAAAATGCACCTCTATATAGACTAGGGGAGCATCTGAATAGCTGCATAACTGTAGCGTAATATTTCAAATCTCTAACAATTCTAGCCATTTGGCTATGGTTTTATTTAGATAGTAGGGTTTTGTGTCATATATATATTTATATACATATATATACACATATACACACACACACACACACACACACACACACACACACACACATACATACATACATACATACATATATAAAATGTTTGTTCCCTCCTACCCCTGCTCATCTGTCTTGGGACACTGCTGTGACTGTTCAAGATTTTAGATGAATTGTCGCGTCTCCCTTCCCCCCCCCCCTTGCTCTTTTCATTGTATGTAGTGGGGCTCCAGAAGAAACCTACTGGCAGTGAACAACATCAGCTCTGTGGTGATTCTCAGTGAGCAGGCCATGTCATCTCATTTTAATCAACAAGTGGCTGTTGTACAGGTGTCTCCCAACCTGTTTAACGTGACCTTCTTCAGCGCAGGAACCACGCACAGTCTTCGCGTCGATATGAATGTTAACGGAGTCTTCGCTACTAAGGTTACTTCCCAGCCCAGCTGTGGGTCATTTCATATATTTGCACAAATATTTGCTTAGTTAAGTACATGGAGACTAAAGTTTGTCCCTCTTTAATATACCTCTTCTCTGATACTCCATTTCTTGTGTAATTGACTGGAAGTATTTTTATGACTCTAGCAATCACACAGTAGCAGAGCTGATTTTCAAATAGTACAGTGAATCGGTAGTTTTCTGGTTACTGACTTCTGTTTGGTGGCATGACCAGAAACCTCCCACCTCACTGTACAGATGAAATACTAAAAGGTGGCTATTGTGTGGAAGGTCTCACTGTGTTATTGCACACATTCTTGTATGATTCCAAAAGAAACTGAATGTATAAATTCTTTGCTTTTTTGATTGCTTTAGGATGTTGTAGTATTCTGGAATGGGAAGCAAGTGTCTGTCTTTGAATGCTCAGGAGTTACCATAAGAAATGCAGGTAGGAATTCAGAACAGAGCAATGAGTGGAGTGTTAAGAGTGTTAAAATGGTTGCCTTCCTGCAAAATTATGTGTTCATTCATGATAGAGGAATAACTTTGCACTTACGAACGCTAATTAGACTTCATATTGCCATTTTGCAGAGTAGAAAGACTGAGGTATAAAAATATAGGTCAGTAGTTACGCATGTCATCAACAAAACCAGAGCTCAAATACCAACTCCTAGGTCTATGCTTTATTCACTAAGTGTGCTGGGATATAATATATAGCTTGACCTCCGAATAGGTTGGTATTCTTGTCCATGGGTCAGAGGTAGCACTGCAGCAACAGAGGTAAAGCTGAAGATGATGTGAGTCTGTAGGCATAAAATTAAGATATATGTCCACTTAACCTCTCTTCAGCTTCAGCCCAGTTCTGGAGGTGCCTAAAGACCAAATGTGTGCTTCATTTGTAGGGTTTCTAAGGCATCCAGTTGTGCAGTGTGCCTTGACAAAACTAAGCATTTCATGGTTATTCCCAACAGACTAGATGTATACCTGCCTGTCAGGCCTGGATTTGAAAGGTGTTCTCGGATCCAGCGTATCAGATAGGTCCTTACAGAAAACATGATGCGAGGAGAAGTCGTCTCCTTTTTAAGTAAATAATGACAGCAGTTACTTTCTTTTTTTTTTATCTGTTTATTGTAATGATGGTTTTATTGTGATTGTTCCAGGCTCTTTCCTTTGTGACTCTCCAGTTCTGTCTGTGCATGAAGAAAATCTGTACACAGTTGAGCCAAATCGGGTCCAGGTCCGCACCTGGCAGGTAAGGGATAATGAAACTTAGAGAAGGTGAATAATGCATCTCAGGGTTGCTTAGCTTCAGTAGGATTGCTGACTGTGGACCTACTAGCTAAGCAAACCTAGGTAAAAGGAACACATTCTTCTTATTTTTGGTGATAGCCATTCAAGAATGTCATTACGTAAAAGCAGTGACATGAAGCTGAGATCCACCAATATGCTTTACTCTTTTCAATGTTTACGTGTGCTGTACTCACAACTTAAAAGTTAAGTGGAGGTTTTGTAAATCTGTTAACTCCTCCTTTGTCACAGAAAAAATGTGTTGAGGATTTCAGCTGAAAGATCTTTGGCGCTGTGTTCTATAAAAAATCTGTCACGTTTAAGTACTACTGCAGTCTAGCTAGTAAGCATCTATAACAGAAAATAGAATTCTGTAAGGACCAGAATTCTTAAGATGATCAAAATTGCATGCATGTTGAATGTATATATTATGGACAGGAAAATGAACATATACAATATTCTTATAAGGTAATGAAAATACCCTGTAGAAGTTCTGCTTAGAAGTGCGTTCCTACCAGGTCTTTTGTTTAAACATTGCAGCCTATGCTGGTCCACGAGAATCAAAGAGAAATCCATTAGAGTTCTGTTTCCATAATTTTATTTAAGAAAAAAATACTTAAGAAATAAATATTTTATTTAAGAAAGGGTGGGATTTATCATGCTAAGGAATGGTTTTATCTATTTATTTTGCCAACTGTATATTAATAGACGTATAGGGACCTGTATTTTCGTGTCCCTTCTAGCTAGAAGAAGTTATATTATTGCAGAGCCAATCTTTGCAGAAGGGTACCTCAAAACTTAACTTTTTTGGAGGCTATACATCCAGGTTTTCAACCTGAAATACAAATTGCATTTGTTGAAACTTTGTGTGAGATGGTGCGTGTGCATACGTGCCTTTGTGTGTTTGATTTTGCTGATAATGATTTGGCTGACATAGAAGTTCAGCAGTTAGTTAACTATTCTAGTGAGAAAATAAATCCCTCCTAGTTAGACACTGAGGATGCAAAGTTAGTGTTACACCTTTCTCCTCAGGGCACGGTTAAACAGCTGCTGGTGTTCTCTGAAGCAGAGGGGAATCCATGCCTCTTGGATATCTGTGGAAATTTCCTGGCTGTGGGAACTGATTTGGCTCACTTTAAAATCTTTGATCTCTCTCGCAGGTATTAATAAGGCTTTAGAAAATGTGTTTATAATTGAGGGTATCTTTTGTGGTGAGGAGGGAACTTTTAATTGTTTTTGTTCTGATGAAAAGTGATAGCCCCTTTGAATCTCAAGACAATGCATGGAGCCTGTACGACTTGATGGCCTTTTCCTAAAGCAAAGGAAGAGCCACAGAATTATTAGAAAAACCATGGGATGGGTAATGTAATAACAATGATTTAAAAATACATGTTGTGGGGGATGTTTATGTGTATTCGAGAGTAGGTGGAGAAGTTTTAGAAGATCAAGGCAAGGATGTCACATGTTTCTGCTGATGACCTGAACAAGAACAACAGCGTCCATAATATTAAGTTCATTTCCTCCATAGGATCAGTGAATCCAGGTTTGTTTGATTTATGACAAGATGTGTGACCCAACATTTTTTAAATTTGTTTCAGCTCTTCTTGTTTGAGTTAGGTAACGGGTTTACTTGACTTAGTTCAAATTATATTATGTGTTTCCACGCTGACAAACAGCTTTGGCATAAAAAAGATACATTCCTGACATGATTTTTCTTTCAGAAATTTATCTGCTAGTGACCAAGGCAAGTTTAAAAACCTGAAAAAGCCTAAGAGTTGAATGGATTCTGTTTGATCTTAGGTACTATCATTTCTTATGTGCTATCATGACTGGAGTGCTAAACTCTAGTTACCTGCTGCATTTGGGCAGCTTGTAACTAGCATAAATATTGGATTGACCGTGATGTTTGACAGTGAAGGAAACGAGCGCAACTCCTGCATGCTAGGTTAAATTTTCATGGCTGCTCATGAAAATACCCCTTCCCAAATGATGGTCGTAATGTCCTCTTCAAAATTAAAGCTAGCATAGTTGACTTAGAATAAATGCGAAGTCTAAACATGTAAGCCAAGGATGCTATTTCTACAGGATCAAAATTTTTTTACGTGGGATCATATTATGGATTTAAAATACTGTCACTTCTGTCTGTTGCATCCTATTGATTCAGAAGATTTTTCCTTTTTGTACTGAATAGTTACTGATTTTGTATCTACAGCAGTGGAGGGATTGTTCTGAGATATGAAAAAAGGGAGGGTGAGTGTGAATGGTGCAATCTTTTGGAACTTGCGTACCATAAGAAACTAATCAGTAAGATGATATAAATACCCCCCCTGCCGATGACTTTACTTTTGCTCCAGAGTAGGTTTTCCACACAGAACTTTTATGTGACAGGCTATGTTTGTTCTACTTTCATCGTACTGCTCAGTTTCCTTGTAGAGGAAGAACTTAGTGCTACGAATTCAAAATTCTGACAGGATGTTCTTGTTGTATAGCTCTGATGGAATCCTGTAGGAGCATTTATATTTGTTCTTGCTGATTCATTGAGGAAAGTGTTTAATTAACCTCTTCCTGAAAATAAGGCAGGTGGGAGCAATCCTCTGGAGAGGAAGCTAGTCTGGGGCAGAAGGGTCATAAGGTAGACATAAATAGAAGACTTTCAAAAAGGCTTGACCGTAATATGAAAAGGTGTTATTGACTGCTGAGTGTTGCCACTTGCATGCCACCATATGAATTATTTCTTTCCACAGAGAGGCAAAAGTGCACTGCCAAAGCAAGAATTTCTCGGAGCTGTTTCCTGGCCTGGGAGGCATTGCATCTGTCAAGTGCAATGCTAATGGCAACAAAGTCAGCATCCTTGCTAGCAAGGTGAGGCAGAGCTCTTCGCTTACTGCCCTAGGGTCTGACCATCAGTTGCCAGACTGATACAGTGCAAGAAGATTTCTGAAAACACAGGATTAACTTCTCAGAAACGAACTTAGATTTTCTGTGCACTGTACTGGGACTTGAAATTTCAAGTCCAAGCTGTAGCTAAACACTAAAATTAAGCTGTGCTAAGGTTTTGTACCTTTCGTGAGACCAAAAACTCAGAAAAGGAAGGAGCAGATTAGTACAAGTGCTATTTTGTAGCGTTTCAAAGAAGTCCGACTAACTTGCTAGAACAGAAAAACAGCATGACATATTCTGGTATTTCTTCCAAAGAATGTTCTTGTGTGATTACCCGTGCACGAAATTATGACAGCATGAAGCAGATGAGATAAACATACGATCTGAACTTTACTTTTTTTCTTTTTAACTGCATGCTTCAGTGACTTTCGTTTTCCCTTTCCATAGGTGGATGGGAACATTGATTCCAAGATCTGTTTCTATGATGTTGAAATGGACAAAGTTACGCTCTTTGATTTCAGTGCTGAACAAGGAAACGGTAGAGAGAAAATTCCTTCTGGACAAGGCATTAACAAGTAAGAAGCTTTTATTTTGAAAAGTATGACTTGTGCCTTTAAGGTAGGAATCTGCCCTATGAAGACAAGCCACATCTTGATATTGACATTTCTCTGTCTTTATGTAGGAGCTTGTACCAATTTAATTTTTTTGCTAAAGACTTAATTAAAACTAGTGCATGATTTCTGTGTTGATCAGCCTGTATACCTGTCTCTTCTGATACATGAACTAGGGAGCGTCAAATGAAGATATCTCAAAATAAACAGAAGGAGATGGTTCTTCACACAATATGCAGCCATGCTATGGAGCATCCTTACCAAAGTATTTTTGGATTCTGAGGGAAGGGTTTATGGAGGTCCTGGACAAATTCGTAGAGGAGAAATCAAGTGAGAGTTATTAAAATTATGGAAGCCATATCTGGCACAGGAAATCTCTTAGAGGGAAATGATTAGGTGTTGGGAGAGTACTTGTGGAGCTATTAGATGACTGGCATCATGATCCTGTTCTTCCAATAAATATGCTAGATCTTAGAAGCCCACTCTTCCATGAAGAGTTCACAGGGTAGGAACTGAAAAGAGGACATTCTGAGGTTCCTTATAGGAAAAACTTATTTCTAAGTCCAATGCAGAATGGTTCTGTGTGAGTAAAAAGTTTCATGAAACAACTATTTAGAAATGATGTCTTTTTTTCATACAAGCTGCTCTCTGGCGAACGCATTAGCAATCCTAGCCAAGGCAGCATCCCATAGGGAACTAGGAATTGGTACGGACGTGCAGTTTTCCATCTGGTTTTATAATGATTTATCTCACTATATTTTTCTTAAGATAAAAGAGTCTTAGAATACAAGGCTTTGTTTTTAGCCACTAGCTGATGCAGATATTACTGGCAAAAATGCAGTTATTCTTTTCAGCACTGAAAAAAGGAAGAAACTACTCAGCTGACTAAAGAGAGTGCAAATTTTGGGTCTTTATATAGTGTTCAGTTATGCAGTGTAATAATGAGTCTTGAGAAAGTGGTTTCCCAGTGTAGTATCTTGTGCAGCCCAACAGAGGCCACCACAAACTAGGAATATTATTTCACTCATGTTTTAATGCTAGATGGTGTCAGCATGAATAATGCATTTATCTGTGCTTCATTGTAGAGTATCTTGAAATCAGAATGAGTAAATTCATCAGAATGTAGTAATAATATCTGTATTACTTCCCCTTCTCTCTCTCTTCCTGAGGTAGAATCTAAAAACTCCCCATTTTTTACACAAATACTATTTTTCAATTTGAGAATAACTTATTCAGAGTTAAATCCCATGGACACTGTGTATTTTTGATTTCCCTTGAATCTGTCCCTTAATTTGCCTTCCCACCCTCTTCCTCCCCCCCACAAAGACTATCCTTCAGTGATGACAGTAGAGGAAAAAAAAAATTTGGTGATGTTTTTTCTCATTTCTTAAACGGACACCTATACCTATATGCTTTATTTTTCAAAAGAATAATAATCCTTTGCCAAAATAGTCTGAATCTGTATGTCTAGATTCTTAACACAGCCTGCGCTGAGGTAGCATTTGAATGCCTGAAGGAGGCAGTAAGTCTTGCCTACATTTCTTATTTAAACTGCTGTCAGAGAATGGTATTTCTAAGGCTGAAGGGGTTTTTGTTGTGCTCTAACTGGTAATTCAAGTCTCTGAATTCTTTTCAGAATCTATTATTAAGTTCGAGCATAGTACTTAGGAAAGGGAAGGAATTGTGGCATATCTGGAGACTGAAGTCCCCCAGCTGCAGATCAGGTTCTTAAGTAGCTGCAGCCCTGAATGTTCCCTCGCTCTGTCTCAGCATTGACAAGTTTAGCAGATGAAAGTATGAAAGTGCGGATCACACTGCATTGCCTGGTCTCCGCTCAATTCCCAGTAGAGATGGCAAAGAGACTTTTAGGAGAGATCTGTTGACTGAGAATATAAACTCATGTCTTCCTTTTTTTTCTCCCTTCAGTTTCATTGTGACTCTCTGGTGATCTCTTCTGACCACTGCTGAGCTGGATGTGAATTTGAGGCATATATATTAGAAACTCTCTCTTTACCGCTTATCTAAATGTGTATCGCTGCACTCGAGCTATCTTTAACCTAACTGGCTGGGTATTTCTAGAAGTGCTGGCAATAAGCACCTTGGGGCAGGCTGTAAAACCCACAGCAAAGCAGAGCTGAGGTGGTCTCCGTATTACAGAAGCCACATTGGTAACAGCAACCAAGCTGGAAACATATCTGGAAAATGTTCAAACATTTCTGTAGGACACGTGGTCTCAGAAGAGGCATACTGTAGGTGCATAATTGCATTTGTGGCAGTATCAGCTTTTTTTTTTTCTCTCAATTGAAATGCTTTATGTCCTGATAGTCATGGTAAACATGCAAAAAAGAGGTGGAATTGCCATATATAAAATGATAGGAGGTAGGAAGATGTATATGGTTGCTAGTACAATACAGAGCTACTGGTCTAGATAAATGAGTCTGTCTCCTGGTAGTGTGTGTGTTTTGTTTTGTTTTGTTTTTTTACATATTTTTACAATATTTTAAGCATGGACTAATGAGTCCACTGCCTGGCTGTTTCTGGGGCATAGCCTGCTTTGTTTCTGTTGGTTATTGACTTGTTAGCTCTCCAGATAACAAATATTGCCTTCATTTTGATTAAATTTGGTCAACAACAGGCTTGTAGATACTTAATCCCATCTGTAATCATACCAGGAAAATTACAACAGGAGCACTAACATCTAAAAGCTTCCAGTTATTGCTCCTAGCCAGCAATCCTCCTTCCGGTATCTGGTGTCTAGGTGCAGCTGGTTTTGCTAAGGTGACAAGTTTATTAGAGTGATCAGAAACACATCTTAAAGATGTATTAAGCCTTGACAAATATTTAAAAAAGTGAAATTCAAAAAAAAAAAAAATCCCAACAACGTTGCCTCTAATAAAAGGCTGCATAAAAATTGGAAGCTCCCACTTGTACTGAGGAAAACCTTCAATTCCTGGGAGTATAAGGGAGGCTTATGAGATGTCCATCGAAATTAGCACTTCTTGTGGGCTAAGGGCGCTATGGTAAAGCCTTACTTTCAAAACAATAACCTAATTCAATTATTTGAATGGTAATACTTCATTCTGCTCTACAGAATTTTTAAATAGCTACTTGTATTTCCTAACGTAGGCTACAGTCAATACTATTAAATTCTTAACTGAGGTCTGTGTTTTAGAGACCAGTCCTGCATTTTATAGTAAAAAGCTTGAATTCTGTAGAGCGTCTTTGCTGTAGGCTTGTAGGGGATGGAGCCCTCAGCTTTGCTGAGCCTTGGAACGCCTCATTTTGCTTTCTGTGTTCTCTCAGCTTCATGCTGATGGTACAAATGGAATAAGATTAGGTCTGTCATGCAGGAGACGTGCTCTTCCTCCAAGGGAATACTTGCTGAATGAGCACGTTTCTTTGCTGATGCACAGAGTGCTCACAAACTCGTCACCCCAGAGGGGGTATAAGTTCTGCAGGAGGATGTAGCAAGGCAAAGGAAATAAGTAGTGATCTCTGGGATTAAAAGATGGAATTCAGCTCCCTATGTAGTGTGCATTAGCAGGAGCTTAGATGATGATATGGTTTATTGTCTGCCAAAAAGACTTTTTAAAACCCTCACTAATAGAAGTAATTGAGAGGTGTTCTACAGTGTCTTTCAGTTTTCTGTTCCTTTCCATTCCAATAACATGATATTTCTAAAGGAAAAGCCTTCTTGGTAAATACAACATATCAGGAATATCCTGGGAATTCAGTAGACATGTCAGTTCTTTGTATTTCAAATTATATGATAGATTGGGTGAGCTCTAAATTATTAGATGATCTAATTGGCATGACTTTGCATTGGTTTTGTAAGGTTGAAGCTAATGAGAGAAATGAACGTAATGTATTCTACCTCACCCACGTTCTGAAAAAAATATGCATTTGCATATGTTGTGATAAGTTATCATCATTATAAAGTTATCCCTTGGTTAGTCCTTCTTCATATTCATGCACTGAACAAGTTGCAATTGTTTTATCTCCCTTTCTATGTTTCTTTTTGTCTTTCACCATGGCAGGACTGTTGTGGAGTATCCAGAGCTGCACAGTCACATCCCTGTTTGCCATTTCTGGGACCAGAATGAACCAAGACTTTTCGTATGTGAAGCAGTTAGTGAAACAAGCCTCCAATCTCCAGACCAGAAGGAAAAACAGACCGAGAGCACAGTATGGTGTTTTTGTTTTTGTTTTACCTTGCTCTGCATGGAGTTCTCCCTGTCCTGGTAATTAAGCGCTTGCACTTTGTTAAGCTGCAGGACTGGGTAGCATATGCTGTCATATACAGAAATTAATAGCTAAACTAAGTGTTTGGTATCTGTGGCTTCAGGCAGTCACTGTATGTTACCTTCTTCTTTTAGCCCTAGCTTGCATACTGTGACAAAGACTGGGCGGTGGCTTCTGAATCTGTGCTGGAATTGTGAGCATGATCAAAATCCAAGCTCATATCGGGACTACAGTTTTTCAAGGGACATTGATGGGTCCCTTATTCCGATTTAAAGAAATTAAAGCAGATTTTATATCCTGAGTCCACTTTTAGCAGCAAGGATTGATTTGATAGAATAACAGGTACCCTACTATTAAGGTGAACAGGGAGGTAAGTACACCTTTCCCGCCCAGTTTTTACTGTCTTCTGCTCTTCTGGACAGACTTTGTACTCAGTTGTAGTACTTCCTAAATTGTATTTTTTGCCTCTTTTCTTTTTACAGTAGCAAAAAATATTTTGTTTTTATTGTACAGAAATAATCTAATCAAAGATTTGTTTCCTCTGACAAACGATTCCCCTCTGCCCTCTTCCCCCCTTTATAATGTTAATAAGTGAATGTGCTTATAGCACTTCTTTCCATTTGGTCTGTGCAAAACTATCAGCAGCAATATTCCTTTGATTTTAAAATGTCCATGTTGATTTAAAGTGTTCAGATTCATCCATTATTTTAGTTTAATCTCTACCAATTAGAAATAGAAAGCTCTTTGTTTCTTTTGTTAGTTGAATGGCTTAGAAAAATCATGGAAGGATCAACATGGAAAGGAGTATGGGTATCTCAAAAGATCTTGCTAGGGTCTTCCAACAAAGAGAGAAACACTTCAACCCAATATTTCTAATGAAAAAAACCAAAATTGTTTGGCTTCTACATAATTTTGACAAATAAAAAGATATAAAACGAGTGTGAATGATTTTTTTGGCCCTTATTCAAAAGCACTTTCAATTATGTGCTGCTTCTTTAACAAATTAGGAGTCTGATGAACTTTCGCTAAAATGCTTTAATTTTGGCTTAAGCCAGGTCACTATTTAAACCATTACAGAAACTATTTTTACATGGCTAGTATGTTCCCTAATAGCTCTAAGCACCGAGTGAACTGCTGAAATTATAGCAGAAATAGTGCCACATTAAAAATAGAAACTATTGAAAAAAAATTGTATTTCTTTGAGTCTGAGTCAGATCTCTCAAAGAGACTTCCCAGATTAGCATGCCAGGGGCTTCCCTCTTTAGAGCTGGAAAGGTTGGTTCCTGAAAGGCAGAGGCGGCTGGCCCTCTGCAGTAGGAACACAATTTGTAACGTGGAATGACTTATTGGCTACTTATTTTAAGGAGGAAGCCTGCAGCTCTGCCCTCTCCAGCAGGTGTGTGTGTGTGTGTGAATGTGTATATTGTATTATTTTCAAGAGAAGGTTCTGCCAAGTGAAAATGGAAAATAAAAACAAAACGAAAGAAGGATATTGCACCATGAAAAACAAAACAATACTTCACTTCCTTTTCCAGCTGGATGTTTTGATTATATCATTCTTCAGTACTGAAGAGCATGGCCTTTTGCTTCAGGAAAGCTTTCCATTGCCTTCATCCTACCAGGTTCTCCTGGGCATTGAGGTGCCACATTATTACTTTGCAAAAAAGGTGAGGAAATCCTTTGCAATTCCTTCCCCTCCCATAAACTAAGATTTTTCAATGCTGTTGCAGCCAATTTTAGTCAAATTGAGTCTGGAGTAAGCAAGTGCAACTTCTGTGGTAGTGGCTCCATTACATGTAGCACTGACACAAAGATCATTTTAATATCAGTGTGCTTGGCAGATTTGTGGAAATTGTACTGAATTGGCTTTTCATGGGCATTGCAAACTAAATGTGATGTGCAAGCACAGGAGACAAGAGTATTTACCAGAAAATGCAACTAAAAAGGGGATGTTAAAATTTTTTCTACTGTATGTAATCACCATTTCTATTGTATATAACAGTATCTGTGTGTGTCAAATTTCCATATGGCGTAAGAGGGGGCATTTCCTACTAACTTTGGTAGAAGCAACCCACTTCTTGTTGGAACTGAGCTTTAATCCCCACAGAATACCAAAGAGGGTGAGAATACTCATCTTGCACTGAATGGCTACTTGCTAAAAATATCAGGAATGCATCCTATAGCTTCTTGGAAGCTTGAATGTGGATCCAAAATTGTTTGTATCTTAAGATGAATAATAGTTACCTGCCTGCTGCAAATAATGAAACTTACTACTTACAGAATGGATCTCACGTCAAGCTCTGAACTGTTGTCTGTTAAGATGGTGTTTTGCATTGCTGTCTTTTTCCAGGGGGAGCTAACGGAGTCTGTTTATTCTACTAAAGCACTTGTTTATGTAGAATCTGAAGGAACATGATATTAATGATGCTTCTAATCCTCTGAATAAAGCAGGAACAGGCAGACTAATGTGATCCCATAAATCTCACCTCGTATGCAAGTTAAGAGAAGTATTAAACACGGAGTCTTTATCTAGACTTTCCTATTTCAATGTATTTAGATTCAGAGCAGTAGCAGTGTAGCCTCTTTCCAAAGAATAGACTACATACAATAATCTTCCCATGCAGACCTAGCTTTTAGAGTTGTACTTTATTTTGCTTTTCTTTTTCCATTAATATGGAAGGTCAAAGATGGTCTGCTGCGTTTCCTTTCCTCATCATGTCTCATGTTATTTTACTTTGATATTACATCTGTCTCTCTTTTTTATTTATGGATTATTGCTGCCGTTAGTTGTTTTTTCAGAGAGGATGTGTCTATAAACCTGTAAGTATCTGTAACTGCATTATTCTGCTCCTCTTCCTTCATCCTACTTTTCTCTCTTCTGTTTCCATTTTTTCCCTGTAGTAGTTTACTGCATTTTAATGGCTAAATTACTTGTTATGTAGTAATTCATCTTGCAAACACGATTCAGGATATGAACAGAGATTGTTTTAAATAAAGAAAATGAAGTTGATGCAACACATCTTACTTGACTGAGTTTCAGCTCAAGGTTTCTCCTTATTCATTATAATGCCTTTCTTGTCCTTATTCCAGAAATTCCCCAACTTGTAGTCAAAGCCGTTTTTCTGTTACTGAAACTCTAGAGGCTCCAGAGCTGCCAATTGTGTGGGAAATGGATTGAATTGCAAGAATAGAGGAATTAGGTCTAAATTGTTAACTTTAGAACAACAGACCCTTTTTTGAGAAGATACTAGGCTTAGAAATGTTTATCAGAAATCCAAGGACTTAAAATAATAGTAGTTATTATAGTCTTTATTGTAATAGTCATTGCTGCATCTTGTATGGTATTTTACAAATCTCCTAAACATTAGTGAAGAAGAATTGTGGTTGTTCATTATATCTCATGATATGCTAATCTCTTCTGTGACATTCCATATTGATGGACACTATCTAGGAAGTTCTGAAGCGTTGTGACTATTGCCCCTATTGATCGTGATCCCACAGAAGTAGAAAACTTGGACTCCAATGGAAATAATCATGTAATTAACATCCTTTAGACATATGAAGGAGTAAGTTTTGTCCTGCTTGGTACCTAAATGATAACATTCTCATTTTAGCCAGGAGAAGCTGAGACAGAAGGACAAGCAGTATCTGGCTCAATAAAGGTCTCACAGATGGTAGCCAGAAGACCCATGAGAGATTTTGTTGGATTAGGAGACTGTGATAAGACTACACGGGATGCCATGCTGAACTTCAGCTTCCACCTGACTGCTGGAGACATGGATGAGGCCTTCAAATCCATAAAGCTGATCAAAAGGTATCAAAAGTATTTATATGTATGTCTTTATGGGTAGAGTTTATTTTTATTAAAAGTTTGTATGAAGTTCTTATTTTTCATTCTCCCTTTAGTTTTTCTAACAAGATGAAATGTTCATCTTACAGACATTTAACATAGTCTCTGTTATTGTTTGTCTGCAAGATGGTGTAAGCTATATAGATTCTTTTTTTACTAAACAGGGGAAAAATGAATTGATAATGGTCAACCTTATTTTGCGTCTGAACGGCAAAAACCCCACATGACTAGGAGAGAACTGAACATTCACAACTTTATTTATACATCTAAAATAATCACAGTAATACCAAGTATTACGAATTTACCGACCATACAGCTGATTTTTAAATTTAAATGTACATTATTATAATACGAATATTGCAATATTAGAAGAAATAATATAATGTCTTTTAAATATTCCAATATCTTATTTTTAAAAAACCCTGCAATTAATTATAGCATGTTATTTCTAGAAAACATAGAGCTTTTCCAGAAAGTAATGCAGACAAACGAATACAAATCTTAGTTGGTTTTTACAAACCTACTGTTAGAAGAAACTCTTTGTCAGCTTTATTGTATTGTACCCTGATAATCTAGAACAAAGCACTTGCTCTAGAGCATCAGTCTCCGCAGAGTGTTGCTCACTTTGAACATGGTGCAGAGTGGCAATTGGGGTTGAGTTTCTTATTACATCAGAACTGGGTGCAGAACAGAACTCAAGAGCCAGCTTGATGATCACTTTTTACCAAAGTGTGGCAAAGTATGCTGGAAGTAACGATAAAGAAAAGCAACAAACTCAGCTGGGAGTAACGCAGCAATCCTAAAGAATTTGTAACATTCACAGCTCATGATCCTTCAAACTGACTGGTAACTGTGCTCAGAGTAGCATCCTGAAGGTTTTTTAAACATCTGTCATTGACAGATGTTTAAACAGGTTTTGACCTGATGATTTTCTTCCAGAAAGTCATGTGCACGTGACTTTTGTGAGCCCTTGTGCTTATAGGGGTCAAGCTTATAAACATCATGCCTAATTTTGAGAGTGCTAATTATTTTCATTTCTCTAGCAAGTTAAGGTACCATACAGATCTTTTTCTCTCATGGCTAAGTCATGTACATATGTCTAGTTCTCCAATTTGGGTGCTTCAGTGGTAAGTAAGTCTCCAATATTCAGTGTATATGTGCCTCTGACCACTGATGGGCAGAGCAGGGTATCCTGACAGAGCACTCGGATCTGGAAATGTCACGGCAAATATGAACGCAAACTGGGAGAAAATCATTTGGGCTGAAATATGCGTTCTTAGTAATCCTTTCCAATAAGGTGAGTTATAGTAACTGGGGTTATTAGGGAGTCCAGGTAGCCTTCTGTCACAACGTAACACTGAAGTCAGGCCCATGTGTGGCCTGTTCTAGCTGTGTTCCCCTTTCATTGCTAATGGCACGTCTTTCTATATAAAATACAATCCCACACCTCAGTTTCAGGATACAAAAGAAGTGTCTGAAAAAATGCAACTTAAATCTTCTGCATTGCCTTACTTTACAATTAGAATGGTTGGAATTGCATTTTTTGCTTTATACTTTGTGGATCGTGCTTTGGCTTGTAAGTAGGAGTTGCAGCCAATTAGAAGTTGCTTGAAGAGGCGTGGATGTATGAGATGAAGGGACTAAAGATAAACGAAATTTAAACTCCTGCTAGAAATCATTACTTGTACAATGAGTTTTCTGCTTTCTCAGATTGCCTGTTTGTTAACTCTAAAGGAAGAATGATTAGCAGTGGTCTCCAATAGCTTTTTTGCATCGTCATTAGGGAGCAGGATAACTTTCTCCAGACAGAGAATGTGTGGGGTTGCCTTTTTTCTGTAGTATCACCATATACACTCTGTGTTTGCTAGAGCTGAACCTCGCTTACAGGTAGCTGTGAAGTTCTGTCAGGATTCTGACAATCCAATAGTCTGGAGCCCATCCAAATAATAATTGAGGGCCTCTGCCCACAAGAGTGAGCTTTGTGATGTCCTTTAACCCTTAGTTTTAAATTATAGCATATATTTATAGAAAACAACTCCAGTGCAGATCTCGTTGGAGATCTCTTCCCCTTTCAAGTCCATGCTATCAGCACGGTGACTCGACGTAGTCATTTTCCAGGCCACGGCGAAATCGAGCGGTCAGCGTGCGGCTAATAACAATGACCCGAGGTGCCATACAGTCCTCACGCCTATGAAGGATGTTCCATATGAGGATGGCAGCTGCCAGCGTGGCCAAAAGACAGGCTCCGATGTTCAGGTAGCAAGACCATGAGAGGTTGGTGTATGGTCCAATGCGGTAGAAAGTCACCAATCCAATAACCAAAACAAAACCTGCAAGCAGAATGGGAGAGAATTTTTTTTGAATGACTTATTCTTTTGAATTTCTCTAGTGGCAAGATGTCTTAGGCCACTATTCATGAGTCTGTAAGTCCTTTCTATCTTTATTGTGAAGTGTTGTATGTATTTTTAAGGCATATTTGGACGGGGTGTTGTGTTATGCAAAGGCTGGGCGCCTGAAATGGAGTCTTAATGTTAGGTTTAAATCTTTTCATTGTGATTTAAACTTCCTACTCCCACTTTACTGTGTTTCTTGTCTGTGTTTTTTTTAACTCCAGCCTCTTGTTTACTAATACAAATGTTGTCTGACTTATTCCCACTGCGAACATAACAAACAGGTATATTAATAGTAATAATAATGAAAATCCTTTGTTCAGTAATACAGTTATTCTGAAATAAGTGTTAAAATGTTTGTTTAAGGCAAGCCACTTATAAACTGCAAAGATGATGAATAGCGGAATGTACGTTACAGAAATAATAAAAAACATACAGCAGCCAAAAAAAAGGCAAGGTAAAATAAGTGGGACCCAATAGCCCCACCTTTTCTGTGCTAGAAAAAAGTGTTGAGGGAATAAACCAGGCAGGAGTAATACTATGCCTCCAGAAGCCATCAAAGGCAAGGTTTCTGTTCCCTCCCTAACCTTAAGCACTGTAGTAAATTCCCTTACAAACTGGTAATCGAGTAATTATGCTGCGCGTAGCTAGTATTTCCATCCAGATGTCACAATGTGATTTGCAAGCACTTGAAAGAACAATTTTCCACATTCTTTTTGATATACACCACTGCTAAATAATAATATTCCTTATTTCACAGATGAGGTGACTTTTCTAGTCATTCAGGAAGTCTGTGTTAGAACAAGGGGAATAAACTAAACCCCTTGGCTACCACTTTCTTATGTTAGGAAGACTGCCCTTCTGCTGAAGGGTGCATCGATGGCACACAATTACTTTTCTGCCCTCTGTGCACTGCATCAGTTTCTCTTCCTATAGCTTTTAAGATAACTCATTTATAGATCTCATTAGACTGAAACAAACATACAAAGAGGCAAATATGTCTCACTAACCAAGAAAAGGCTTCCTCTTTGTTCTCTTACACACATAACTAGGCTAAACGAGGGCCCATAAAAAGCCAGAAGGATCTGTAGATACCATCTCCCCAAGTTCATGGGCAAGGACAAGTCAAGAGCAAGCCATTCTTTCATAAGTGCAAGTGTCCGAATGCTCTGCTTTCACAAGTAGCTGCACCGCTTGGAAACACTGTTCCCACAGAAATATGGCAATGCTCTAAAGCGGGATACAGTGGACCCTCGATTGTATCATATCAAGTTTGTTTTTAGAAAGAGCACTAGTAATGCAGTGAGGATGGAAGAGACAAAAAAATATACACGGATAAAAAATAAAGAGTAAGGAAAGACGAATAAGAGGGAAAAAAAATCAGTCACCACGACATGACACTTATTATTCTGAGTCAATATTGTGAAGGCCGAGTCCTTCTTATAAACTAGCATAGAATGCGTACTAATGCAGGAAAAGTCTGGCATCCTCAGCTCTCCTATGTCTACCTAGAAGGTGATTTTAAACTCCTATAGCTACTTGCTACACCTCCTCCTCTTAAAATAGCATCGTGCCAGGGATGGCCTGTACCAGAGCTGGTTTGAAGCGAGGCTGTCCTTCCTAAGGATATATGAGGAGGAAATAGATTCTTACAGAAGGAGTAGCTCTTTCCTGTCCTTCTGCCACTTTGCAGTAACGTTTGCTATGAGAAAAGCCTAACGTACTCCACGTGGGTTTTAGACTGATTAACCGGTTGTAAGGACAGCAATTAAGATACCTCCTTGGTTTTGTCAGTAAGATTCTTTGGGACATCATGAAATCTGGTAGTCATTTCATTGTTCGGTTTATTTATAAATGAACTCCTTTATATGGGGAAAAAACGTAGCCATATGGAGGATATTAACTTAACTGAGTTACAGAAATCACTGACTTGTGCAACAATTGTTCACTAGCGCTCCAGGCTGAGTCTGCAGCCTTATTTAGGAGGCCATTTGTGTTCTTAACCTTAGCTGAATTGGAGATGGGATCCTAACAGACAGGTCATCATTTAGCGTTATTTCTAAATACACTGGTTAAAAAGTTGCTTCTTGTTTTCTGTTTGATAAAATACTGAGTTATGATTGGGATGGAAACGTAGTGAAGCTTTTCTTGACAAATTAAGCTTAAATCTTCATTTCTTCAGTAATCACTGATGGATGACATGTCTTAGATCAGATTAAGTAGTCTTTTTAAAATGCTGCTCTCTTGAAGCCAGGCAGATGATATCTACATCCTTGAATGGTACAGACTGTTGGAGGCAAATTATCTGTAAACGTCCTTGAAAAAAATTGAGGCTGAAATTGTTGAAGGAGGTAGTATTTGTGTGCTCAGCTGATTGCTAGCATCCTCATGTGAAAGTGGAAAAGTTCTCTCCCTGTGCATTCAAAATCCTTGCTGAAGTTGACACCTGTTTTTTCAACATTCACAAAACACTACTTTTGTCCCCAAAACTGCAGTTAGTTGTGCTCTTCCTTTTCTGTGATGTCTCCCTTACTTGCTTTTGGATTCAAATGACTCGTGTTAGATGTTTTCTGGGTCTTAAACGACTTTTCTCTATTTCTGTATTGTTAACAGTAATGGCATAGAAGATGACTGTGGCAGAGCTGAAAAATTAAATAGTTTTCCCTCACTTCCAGTGTAATACTTTCACTACTGCGTTCTTCCTCTGAGTTCAGTTTCTCCTGAGAATCACGCTTGGGGGCGGGGGGAGAGAGACCCTGCATTATTTGTGGAATACTTCGTTTTTTTAAACTCTCTTCTGAGATGTCTTCGTTCCCCATACTTAGAACCAAGATGAGAAAACTTCTTTTCTCCCATGCTTTGTTTTCTACTTCGCAGCTGTAATCTTTTGTGAGCAGTTTGTATCTGTTGCTATGTATTTATAGAGAAGTTGTATCTCCTCATCTAAGTCTGAGGTCTTTAGGTCTTATAATACAAATAAATACCAATTATGCTTTTCTCTTCTACTGATTGCAATCCACTTTTCAAAGGATGATAGATACTACTTTTCCCACACAAAGGCAGGAAATTGAGAGAGGGAGATTGTTTGCACTTCCTGTGGCCAGGTTAGGGACCTATTTCTCTTCTTTCTGTTTTAAAATCCCCAGAGGAGGGAGGGCACCGAGGCAGGAATCAAGAGACCCATCTTACCGATGAGTGAGTCTGGCACATGACAAAAGTTAGTATCAGATGAGTTTTCCTTTCCGTCAGTCTTTTCCAATGTGTATGCATTTTCACAGGGAATTCAAAAAGCATTAAATAAAAAGGCACGAGCGTGATGTAAACCACAAAACCTGTCAGAGAGACTCATTGGCTGGACTTGAAGTAGTATTAACTAATATGCATTTTAAGGCTAGAATTCAATTTTATATTACTTTTTAAGGAGGAAGAATTTAAGAGCCTAAGCTGTGTGTCACGACCACTTATAGATATCTCTAAAGGGCAGTAACAAATATTAATAATAGTCCACTTTACACAGCTTTACATTATTTGTTTCAGGCTTTCTCAGCAGCAACAGCTGGATACAGGAAGACCAGTTGTACAGAGTAATAATGCTGAAGCTATGTGGTGTGTCTCGCAGCTTTCTTCCTTTTCACGAAGATGATGCTCAGCTCATGACTAGCTCATTCTGCCCGCATGTCGAAAGACAGTGTTCTGCATAGTTCACAGGCCAGCTGACGTTTTAACAAGACAAGGCAATAATAAGACTAAAACCTTGATTATGTGTCAGGACGAAGCAAAGCTGTGAGCATGGTGACAGTATACTGTCATCCCTCCGTGGTGGGATGCCTTTTTACAATGCCTTGTCATAAGTTTTTTTTTGTTTTCTTTTCAGTGTTTCCTTCAACAGAGTTGCACAGAACTGGAAAACAATCTGATCAAAAGCTAGTTGAAATCAGTAGCAGCCTTTCTACTGACTTGGTAGGCTTTCGTTCATATTTGGTTTGTACAGCCATAAGCAGCTTCTAGGGGTAGCTTCAGATAACATATAGCACAGTCAATGACTGCAGATCGAATGCAATAGCTGCATAGTTTCCAACTCCTTGAGTTGTGGCTGGTGCCTTCCTCAGTGCAGATTTACAGGTATTTACTCTGCTGTTATCCCTAACATATGGAAATACTGGGTGATTAGCACTTCCAGTTTTCTGACTGAAAGTCAGATCTGCTGGTGCAAACCTGCTGGCAAAAACATTTAGTGTTCCTGGCCTTTGTGAGAGCTAAATTCCCTTGGGCATGAGTTTTGCACCATTCTTGGCTCATTTGGCTGAGGCAAGCAGCAGTAGTCTAAATATATTCCTTTATGGTACTACAGAGGCAAATAAGTGCTGTAGGAATATTTTCAAGATTTAAACTTTCTTTTAAGCACACAACTTTCAATTATATTACCTGCCACTTTCTCTCTTGCTTATGTATCACTTAGGGCCAATTACTGTCTTAAAAGGCTACACATCTGTGTGCTAGACAGGCCATCTTCATGAGCTCCCCTCCATCTGAGGGAGAAAATATCCATCAGGAAAAGGAGTGAGGCTTCCTTACAGCACCCAAAATAAAACTATTTATGCTAGCAAGACTTTTCCCCTTCACAGGCCCTTTGCCTGAACCCTCGCTCAGACCAGCAGCCTGTCACGCAACAGGCTTTGTCTCCTCTTGCAGGTTTGTGCCAGCGTCTGAGCGGGAGGGAGCTGGGAGATGGTTCCTTGCAGAGCTCCCTGGCTTGGCAGATAGCACGAGTGAGTCACTGAGGCTCTTGAGTGAAAAACACAGAATCTGTTTAGAATACTTTGCCACGGGCTAGACAGGAACTGACATTTAAGTAAAGAGGAAAACACGATAGCCATGGGAGAGTGACAGCATAGTACTTCAGAGAGTTTTCACAGTTGAGTGGTTGTACAGTTCTGCCA